ATATGTCTGCCCTTTTCGCTGGTGAAAATGCTGGTTTGGAATAGCCGACCCACCCAAACGCTATGCCCGGAGGGGAAAGCTGAATACTCAATAATATCATGTCACTTATAGTTGTGCCAAGTTTCACCTTTCCATAAATTATTTGAAAATATCTCCCTTTGAAATTTGTGCCCCAGGGCATTTACATCCAAAGTCTGATTTTTTCTGCAGCATCCTGTAGTTCTGCACCAAGTTTCATCTTTCCACACTATCTCAATACGCCAGGACAAAAAAAAATACTTGAAAACGTCGGCCCCGAAAAATATGCCCCCACGGCATGGATCTAAAATTTTGCATTTTTTCTGAACCCATCGTCTCGGTAGGCAAGTCCATGAAAGGTTTCAGCTTTCCATGTCTCTCCGTTTTTCTCAAGCAAAAATAATGCAATGGAAGGGAATGAGTAACGGGACATGGAAGGCAAAAGAAGCCAAAAGATAGCCAAGGAACGGCCGGGAATTGAACCCGGACCTCCTGATTGCCGGTCAGATGCACTACCTCTACAGCACCGAACCCGGGACATCCAGTCGTTATATATATAAAAAAAAAAGTTTCCCCCCAAAAATGTGTACCCCCAGGGTATGTATCTCCAAAAGTCGGATTTTTTCTGAACTCTGCATCCTGAAAGGTACATATGTACCAAGTTTCAGATTTCTAACCTTTCTGGAACATGGTTAGAGTTAGCGTCAGTCAGTCATGATCGTCTATATATATCTTCAAAAACGTAAAAACGTTTTTAAAGATCCACTTTTATCCACTTTCTACCACCCTGTTTTGCTGAATCAGCAAATTTATGAAAATTTGTAAAATATCTGCCCTCGGGCGTTATAACAATAAAGTACCATTTTTACCGAAATCAAACATCAGTGAACTACATGCCCACAAAGTTTTAATATTGTACGTTTGCCCTTTTCACTGGTGAAAAATCATGTTTGGAAAAGCCGACCCACCCACAAGCTATGCCCGGAGGGGATCCACCATGAAAGCTGAATACTTGGAAATACGTGACAAATGGGGACGAAAGTCTTGATTTTTATCAAAACCATTACTTCTATTATTTCTAGAGTGCCTAACTTGAAATCTTTTCATGTGTCCCTTTTTGTAAGGGTGGAGAATACATTTTGAAATACTTCTCTCGTATAATCTACGCTAATGGAACATGTTACAAAAGTAGGATTTTTCCTATACCCATCCATCAAATAGGTACTTTTGATTGAAGTTTAAATTTAGTGTCTCTGTTTCGTTTGATAAAAAAAAATTCAGGAAAAAGGGACTGAAAAAAAGGGACCTGATGGGTTTTTAACGAAAATTGTATTTCTTTTGAAATGTAGACTCAGGGAACTCCATGCCATAGGGTTTCAGCTTGATACGTTTCCTCTTTTTGCTTGCGGAAAAAAATGTATTTGGAAAAGCGACCAAACCAAAAGCTGTTCAATTTTTCCTTAAATCAACATCACGTCAGTGATGCGTGCGCCAGCTACTTTTCTTTGTCTGCCCGGTGAACAACATGCCCATTAAGTTTCAATATTATACGTTTACCCATTTCGCTGGTGAAAAAACATGCTTGGAAAAGCAGACCCGTAGAAATGCCATGCCCTGAGAGGATGCCCCACGAAAGCTGAATACTCCCTCAGCTCAGTAATATCGTCACTAATACGTGTCCCAAGTTTCACCTTTCTATTTCTGTCCAATTCGTCGCAACAACTTTTTTTTTCAAAACATCACACCTCGAAGAAATTCCCCATGGGAAGTATCCAGACTTAACATTTTTATATAACTCCTTGTATCAGATGTCACATTCATGGAAAGTTTCAGCTTTCTATGTTCATCAGTTTAACTGATGCAAAAAAAATTAGTGGAAAACATCTCCCTTTGAAATTTGTGGCCCCAAGGCATTTACTTCTAAAATCTGAAGTTTTCTGTAGCATCCCAACAGGTAGTTATGTACCAAGTTTCATCTTTGCACACTATCTCAATACGCCGGGACAAAAAGTACTTGAAAACGTCGGCCCCAAAAAATATGCCCCCACGGCATATTTTTTGGGGACGTAAAGTTTTCAAAGAATTTTTAATATCCTTGCGAATCGGGCAGAAATCGAAAGTAGCTGGCTCATGTCTGCGTCAAATGCGACACCGTTGCTCTCTTTCCAGATCAGGTTGTCAGAGTTTTTTCTTTTCTCGGTTTGTTGGGAATAAAAAGAAGTAAGCCAAGGAATGGTAGGGAATTGTACCCATACCTTCTGATTGGCAGTTAGTGATGCTACTATTACACCACCGAATCCAGGACATCTAGTTGTCTCTCTGAATGCCATCCTCATCTGTCACAAAATATTTAAAAAAAACGTTTCCCTCCAAAATGTGTACCCCCAGGGCATGTACCTCCAAAGTCAGAGTTTTTCTGAACTCTACATCCCAAAAGGTACTTGTGTACCAAGTTTCAGATTTCTAACCCTCCTAGAACATGGTTAGAATTAGCGTCAGTCAGTCAGTCAGTCAGTCACGATCATATATATATATATATTTTAGATACCAGCGAGTTTGTTTGCCCTTCGGGCAAAAAAACTCGCTATGGTTGCGTCTTCGGCGCTCCATTATCTTGCATAGTGATTAATTCATTTATTCTTTGCGAAATGACAAACACGTCCCCATTGAAATACATTACCTTTGGCGACGACAGTCTTGACTTTTATCAAAATCAATTCCTCTATGATTTCTAGTGTGCCTAACTTGAAATATTTTCATGTTTCCCTTTTTGTAAGGGAGGAGAATACATTTTGAAATACTTCCCTCCTATAATCTACTCTAATGGGTACATATTTCAAGAATAGGATTTTTCCTACTTTTGGAAGGAAAAGAAAGGAGATACGTATGAGCGATATTTCCAAAAAGGTGACATCTCCGAAGGTCCCTTCGGGCAACTCTCGAACAACTTCGTTGTTGGTCATGCGAAAATTCCTGAAGGAAAATATTTAAATTATCTTTGAATTGAATGTGTGCTGTATTTTTAATCTACCCATCATAATACACATGAGAAAATTAAATAAATGAAGCAAAAAAGTGAATCTAAATAAAACCCAATGTTTAACCTAGCTCATCTGGGACCTTGCATAACGATAAACATCTGAACCTAACCCTCAATTCCTAATCCTTTCAAACAATCAAATCTCACCTTCCATCAGAAGGAGCACACTCTCCTCCTTGCAGATCTTCATCAGACTCGTTCTCTCCACTCCTGCCCTCTGAAGCATCTTTCGAATGGCGGCATCCACTCGACATCCACTGCCCTTGCTTCATGTCTATGGGTACCGCTGCCGCGAAGAACATCCCCGTCCTCCAGAATGGAGAGGCACACACCACGGGACTTTTTCATGCACCGGTACATATTCTTCGCTCATATTCTTCCGAAGTTCTTTCGCCTTTCGTTGCTGGAATCTATCCACAGCAAACAGTTCTCTCCCTTTTCCGAAAGCTTCCTAAAAATCGTTGGCTTCGCCATGGCAAAAACTTTTGGGTGAAGAACACGAAGTCACTCCTATAAAACGAAATATATCGCTATGTAGGCCTATATGACCATATCGCTATATAGGCTATAGTCCAGAGGTTCCCAAACTTTTCGGGTCCACGACCCCGTTTCACAGAAGCCAAAAGCTTGTGACACCCAATTTTCAGGCTGAAAAAGTACATGGTATAGGAAAATTTGCTGGGATAACCATCCTGGACGGTTCATTAAAGTGAAACGAAATCGCAATGTAACTCTCGTTTAAATTCATTTTAAAACGTGAAATGCATTGAAAACATAATTCATCTGCGCTATTCATAATTCAGTGCGATGGGTGTGGCTGCTTTGCAAAGAAAATGCGATCAAAACGAACCACAATTCAGCTGAATCTCGTCCTCAGGTCTCCTTCAAATTTCAATTTCAACATTCGGTTTCTATATTTGCTTTCGATGAACACCAAAGAAGAAAATCCCAATTCGCAAAGGTATGTTGATGCAAAATGTACCCCAATAACATCACCCCTAGGCCACAAAATCAGTATTATTAATAACGGGTCAACATCTAATATCTGAACTGAAAAAGGTTATACTATCAGACCTTCTCGCTAAAAGGTTAATGCTACCGGGTCTAAGATCACATAATTCACACCCACACACTCCACAGCTGACGACAGCTTTACCCTTACTCACACCCGGGGCGATTAAGGGCAAAGCTGTCGCAAAAGATGCTTTTATTAGAGCATCAGTGACTCTGCTTTCACCTAATGACCTGCTTAATGGGTTATTCCTCATATGGAATTTTTTCCGATGTAATGGGTAAAAATTAATAGGAAGATTTTCTCTCGGAAAACACGGCTCGACTTGTTTCATGAAACCTGTGAATGAAAATGAATAAATAAATAATCTCCAATCCGATTGGGACTCCTTCTTTACGACCCAGAGTTCGAGAACCGCTGCTATAGCCGATATGGATGTTTTGCCATCATTTTTGCTCTTTAGAATTAAGCAATCCTTTGAAATCAGCGACAAACCAATGTTTAAAAAATGAATGCCGTTCTCTGCAATGCATGAAATTAACTTTTCACGAATTCTGCCGATGATGCCTATGCCCAGTCCTAGTTGTAGTGAATGACTTTCTCATGTTTTTTGGGGAATCTTTCGGAGAGTAATTGACATTGCTCTAGTGATATTTGGGGCTTGAATGCATATTGGAAGCACGATAGGGAAGGGAGAGAATGAGCTTCGCGATGACTCTCCACTTCTGGAATCCCCCTACCTTTCCTCGCCCTCCCCCTTCCCGACTGGCATGTCTGCGTCAAATGCGACACCGTTGCTCTCTTTCCAGATCAGGTTGTCAGAGTTTTTTCTTTTCTCGGTTTGTTGGGAATAAAAAGGTGTCGCAATTTTCGCCCAATCCTTTAAGTTATCACGAGTGGATGACTTGAACACACTTCACCACGTTCATGCAGGCCTGCAGATTTGGTTTTATTCCAACTTCATGAAGCATTTTGCAGCACCCTATGGATCATCATTTCCGACGCAATCTTCAAAAACGTTCGGATCCAGGTCCTTAAATTCCGTTCCATCCATGCAGTAACCGTTCACGCTTGCCAGGAAGTCGGGATTAAGTACTACCCATGCCATGCTGCAATCGCACTCCACAGGGTTAGCTGCGATACAAAAAATGAGACGAAATAGTAGGGGAAAAAAAACATTTCATCATTAAGCATCGTGGACGAGCAGGATCTCACAGCCTAAAAAGATGAACCCATCCCCCAGTGAGAGTATCTTCAGCATGGGGCGGAAGGATTCCTCCGTCAACTCCCGAATATCATTATAAGAAACATAGAGGACCGTGTCGGGCTGCAAACCTTAAATAGGGACAAGAAACTGAAATGAGGGACACCACTGTGTCAGTGTTTGACACAGTTCCAGTGGATAACTCAAAACTCGAGTATGAGGTAATCAATTTAATTTAAATATTCCAGTCAATAATACTCCTACTTCCTGGCTTTCAATTGTTGATAGTCCTGCATAGTCACTCTTAGTCGCACCCAATTGATGGAGGCAATAGGAATATTGATCACCATGAGCAATCATTTTGGGTGCAGAATAGAGAACATACCTGTGATCGCATCCACTTCCATATTTGAGAATGAGTTCCAACTTAAGTGAATGTCTTGCATGGATTCAGAGTGGAATTCCAAAGACTTGGTCGACAATGTTGGTCCGAGGTCACAGTCGGCACAAGAAAAGATCTCTAATTTCACAAAATCGCTGAGGAAGCCAGCCGGGACATCCCGGATTGGGTTGGAACCTGCAGAAGGTGCAATAAATTCAGCGTCAGCTATGATACAAAATTCCCGCAAAGTGAAAAATAATGAAATCAAATTGAGTAACTTATTCGCTGAAAGGGAAAGATATTCAGTTTCTCCATGCAAGTGCATAAAAGCTTCTAATACACAGGGGTCCTTAATAACTCACGTTATGAATTTTTGCTCGCGAATATGGTTTTAAATCATCAATGCCATGATGCGTGAGAAGTCAGATACCCAAAATAAAACTTCTGTACATTTCACGTAAAATTCATTGACCAACAATTTAATTCCCTTCCGCCTGCGCACAGGCTGCCGATATTCCTTCACAACCCAAGCAACACAAGATATTCCAGCAACTTTTAGGAAATGTTGATAAACAATGTTGCTTCTATGTGTAAATGTCTAAAACGTCAACGTTGCTCGAAAAAATATTGGATTGAAGTTGCAAATCCTTACTTATTCATTACTACTACATTACAGAAACGTTTCAGGACAGATGTTGCTGCAAAGTTAATGGAAAACGTAGCTTCACTGACAACAAATCTGTACCGATATTGGCATTACTATCAGGAAAGGCATTAGCTTCCGTGGCCCGAACTGGACCGATATTCCGACAATAATGAATCATTTATTTATTTATTTCGTTTCATACACTTCATCTCTCTACCCAGAAGTTCTCATCAATCCATCAACAGGACGGTCAACAAGTGAATTGCCTTAGGCTTAGAGCATTTTCATCACTTCAAGTACTCATGCTTCATTTTGGAGATTATATTCTGGCAGGAATTGATCATGTTCAAGAATATATTCTGCACATAGATGAAAATCACTCTGTAAAAATGGTTATTGCATGGGGAAGACAAGACAGCCAGGTCATGCGCCTCGGGGATTGCATCATGTCGTCTGCACGCACGCATTGCAAGAAACCTCATTTTCTTAGCCTTTCAACTTAAGAACGGGTGCATTGGAAAAATGATGCCAACTCTAGAGAAAGATTCGAAGAAATATGCTAAGTCATTCACTCTTTAGTCGTAGCATTCAAGGCTTTCACACTTACTCAAATAAAGTCTTCTCAGATTAGGGAGAGACCACCCAGCCTCGAGATGATCTATTTCGTTGCTGGAGACGCTGAATTCCTCGAGACTGTCACTTTGAAGCAGCGGCAAAGTCGTCAATCCAATGTCTCGGAGATCGAGCTTCTTCAGATTGGCAAGTTGTGGAAGGATCTCCCAGGGGAATTCCCTCAGGGGAGATCCATCGATGACCAGACTCAGAAGTCGATCTTTCGAGGCCAACAAGGCCGCGGGATCGACGCGGCTCACGGAGGTGACGGCGAGGTTAATTGTGTCGAAAGTGGTATCTCCGAAAACTCCTCCTGGCAATACTCGGACGTCGTCGTTATACATCAAACTAAACTTCCTGCAACCAAAGTGGACAAAATTGAACATTTCTCTGCATTGATTTCCTGTCGTAATTTTAATCAAGCCATCTTATTGAACAGGAGAGTTCCATTGTGATGATGGAACCGTTAAAAGTTTATGCTCAATTTTCCAAATCAGGACACAACGTGTTCTGCTATTTAATTAATTTATTTTATTTAATCACTGTCGTTAAATTATTTCCATTACTCAGAGGGACCCGTTCCGTCTTTTTTTTGCCCAGCACTGTATTTGGTGTGTGAATTAAATCAATTTATATCTAAGGATTTTTTATGTATCGTGCTTGTAATTAGGCAACTTTTTTTCAATCACGGCGGCCATACTGACATATATTTAGCATAATGTATACATGCTATGGATGAAATATAAATGGTTTCTCGAGCACTTCAACCTGATATGCAGAGTTTATTTACACCAATGGAACTAGCCGAATTTGTTTTATAGGGGTATTGCTTTAGCTTTAGCTACAAATTTTCTTTCAATGCTTGCCCTTTGTTACGTATAATACATATGACCTAAATGAAAACGACTCGGCTTTAAAGTGCTGATGATGAGTTTCACATATTATATCTTACATTTCATACGTAAATATATCTCGTGATTCAACAAGAGATGACGTCATTTTTCATTGAAAAAGGGTTTAATAAACCGAAACCTTCACATTAGAACATCCATTGGGATTGAAATAATGAACACTTTCCTTTCCTTGGCATTAGGTTAATTCTGGTTGGAATACAAGGAATTCCCTTCATTTAGCTCAGAACATGATCGTACGTGAGATTTTTGACGGGCCATGTAGCGTCGTTGAAGGCAAAGTAGATGTCGTCGCTCGAGGTCGCATCGTCGCATTCCACTTCCGCAGAGCCGAGGCTTGCGATAGGGATGCAGATGCAGGGAAGGATGTCATCCGGATCGGGACATAGATTTTGCCCACTCGTCCAGGGAACGGAATGGAAGAGGATGAAAAGGGAGAGCGAGGTGAAACGTTTCTGCATCTTGAAGGCGAGCGAGACTGGGAAATGGTTTGGAGTGAGGACCGGTGTGGATTGGATCGCTTCGGTGATGTTTTTATCGTGGACTGGGTCTCGCTCCCTCGTGGGAAAATCCGCAAATGATGAAAATAGATAAAATCGTATGACGCACCGGCGAGACGTTTTGCTTGTGAAAAAGCAGGTGATATGGAGTTTACTATGGGTTTCACCCAAATAGTGCCGTGAATATATCAGCCTGGATAAAAAGGAAAGAGCAAACCAGCTTTCCGAATTTGCCGTGAAGGAAACAAACATTACTGCCGGTAACGTTCACGTTTACCAGGTATCGAATTTTCCCGACGCTGACAGGTTTCTCTCTTTACCCTCATATCATGACAATTGCGACTTTTAATGTCCATGTTGTCGATTCCTGCCTATTCTCGTCTACTGCCCTCTTTCGCGCTTCTCTTCTGACTATTGGACGATTGGTCAATAGGTCCAAGTAGTTTCTCACCCTCACATTCCGCAACTATTCCTACTATTAATACTCATTGATGTATTTGTTATTGATGTCTTCATAACGCACAATGCGGTTTGACGGTCGACATTCGACAGCATATTTGACTTTTGACATATAATACATTAAAAGTTTCATATTAAGTTGAAAAATATTAGCCTTATAACCATTTAACCATCCTTCCCCCACCCCTCTCCACCTGCATTACAGGAGGAGAGGGGTTGGGGAGGGAGTTACATTACAACACTGCATTACAGCGTTATGAACTAACTCTCGAAGAGTACGAAGAAACTACTAGTATATGAACATAAAATCGCTTAGAGTTTGAAATTAGGACAGGCCAAGGAGAGGTTGGTGAGAAAACTGCTTTGATCGCCTGTTGTTTCCCTTGCGTTAGGCATTAAATGTAGCAATAATTATGGCATGAAGAAAGCAGATTCTAATTCCCCGTCCAATAGCCCAAAAAGGAGAGAGAAGTGCTGGAATGAGAAGAGAGCAGTAGACGAGTATAGAGAGGAATATACATTAATATACATTAATAGTCACAATCGTCATGGTAAGGGAGAGAAACGTCGAACTGAGTCAGGAAAATGACATGCCTGGCAAACGCGAAGACTATATCACTGTATTTCTTCCGAGCGAAAAGAAAAAGACTTGGGCCCGGCATCATGCCTCTGTGATCGAGAGTAAAACGACTGGGAAGCAAGCGGATTTGGAAGAGGATGAATGAGGAAGAATGCAAGCCAAACGAGAAACCGCGACTCTGATTCCGGTACATTAATTCTTTGCTCTGAGAGTTCCCCATGGTTCCAGTCTTTCATGACTTTGTATGACTAGAGGTCCGTTGATATTCCAACCTCCGTGGCAGAGGATGACATGTGATGAGATTCCAGTCTGTGAATTTAGATTATTGAAATAATAAAAGGGTTGGGGAGGATTGTCTTGCGGAGAAGGCTAAAGAGAGCGGTTGTCTTGCTTGTCTGCTGATGCAAATCTGTGCCTGGGTTGAGGAAATCTATCCGATACGATATTCTGCTCGATAATTTTCATCTAATATATATAGACGATCGTGACTGACTGACTCACTGACGCTAATTCTAACCAAGTTCCAGAAATGTTAGAAATTTGAAACTTGGTACACATGTACCTTTTGGGGTGCAGAGTTCAGAAAAAATCCGAATTTGGAGGTACATGCCCTGGGGGTACACATTTTGGGGGGTAGAAGTTTTTTTAAAATATATTTCGTGATGGATAAGGATGTCATCGAAAGATACCGCAGAATGTCACCGTTTCGGTGGTGTAGTGGTAGCACATTTGATTGTTAATCGTGAAGCTAGGGTTCAATTCCCATCCATTCCAAGCCTTTTTTTGGCTTCTCTTGCCTTCCACGTCCCGTTGCTTAAATAAAATGGAGTGACATGGAAAACTGAAACGTGGCATGGACCGACACGATGAGTTCAGGAAAAATGCAAAATTTTAGATTCATGCTCTGGGGGCATATTTTTGGGGGCCGACGTTTTCAAGTATTTTTTTGTCTTGGTGTATTGAGCTAGTGTGGAAAGATGAAACTTGGTACATAATTACATCACAGGATGATGCGTGCAGAAAATTCAGACTTTGGAATGAAATGCCCTGGGTGCATAAATTTCAAAGGGAGATGTTTTCACATAATTTTTTTTGCATTAGTTAAACCGATGGACATGGAAAGCTGAAACTTTGCAGGAATGTGACTACCAAGATAAGGAGTTAAAGAAAAATGTTAAGTCTTGATACATCCCCGCGGGAAAACTTCTCAAGGGGCGTTGTTAAAAAAAAATTGTCGTGTCGAATTGGACATAAATGGAAAGGTGAAACTTGGCAAACGTATAAGTGACGTGATATTATTGAGTTGAGGGAGTATTCAGCTGTCATGGTGCATCCCCTCCGGACATAGCTTTTGGGTGGGTCGGCTTTTCCAAACATGATTTTTCACTAGCAAAAAGGGCAAACGTATAAGATTGACACATTGTGGGCATGTAGTTCACTGAGGCTTCATTTCGGTAAAAATGGTACTTTTCGGTTAAAACGCCCGGGGGTGCATATTTTGCAAATTTTCCTGAATTTTCTGATCCAGCAAAACGGAGGGTGCAAGAAAGTTTAAACTTGGCAAAGAAGTACGTGATGAATAGCTGAGTAAAGAAACAATTTTACTTTCATATTATATGCAGATGATTGTGAGTAGCTGACTGACGGACATAGTAGCTATTCACATGCTGAGTTCAGGAAAAATTCCACTTTGGTGATACACGCCATAGGGGCAAACATTTTCGGGGAACATACTTTCAAATAGTTCTCTTCGCTTCAATCAAACGGAGACCCATGGGAAGTTGTAACTTGGGAAGAACGTGACTGGTGAAGGACTCAGCTCAAATGTCAAATGTCAAATTTCCGAAATATTTTTATTTGTAATCCATATTTCTTGGGGACGTTAAATTTTCCAAGAATTTTTAATATCCTAGCGAATCGGGCAGAAATAGAAAAGTAGCAGCTGGCACAAGCATAACGGACGTAATGTTGATTCAAGTAAAAATTCAACTTTTGTTGTGCGTCTCCTCAGAGCACAGCTTTTGGGTGAGTCGCTTTACCAATATGTAAAAAAATAGCGGTCGTTCTTCCCCTTGCATACTCCGACTTTAACCTACCGTACCTCAAGGAAATCACATGTAAAGTCTACCTTTTTTTTAAAAGCGATTTTGGGTAGTCCCGTGTAAAAAATAAGTCCCATTTTCATGATTTTTTTCAGTTAGCCACTGAAACAGAGACAGAATATATAACCTTCTCTCAGAAGTAACAGTTTAATGGCGGAGTACAAGAAAAATCCTATTTTTTATATATGTCCCCTTAGCATAGATTATGGGAGGGAAGTAACTCGAAATGTATTCTTCACCCTTCCAAATAGGGAGTGTACTTTTCTAAAGTTCAATTAGTGTGATCTTTAGTATCTTCATTGCTAAAACTATTTTTAGTTCTGAAAGCTGGGGTATACAGTACATAAAGTTACCTCCGCATGAAATGCACGAAAGGTTAAGACAAAAAATGAATGAATTTATCACTATACAAGGTACTGGAGCAACGAAGGCGCGACCATAGCGAGTTTGTTTGCCCGAAGGGCAAACAAACTCACTAGTATGGAATAATGACAAACTGTCCCCACATATTTAGCGCGCTGCCCATGAGCTTAAGCAGAATCTTCATTGAAATGTCCTTTGAAATGTCCTTTGAAATGTCATTGAAATGTGAAATGAAAAGTTATTGACAAAATGAATTTCAGACTAATGAGATTAAAGGGCGAATAGGAAATGATATGGAGGAAATGAAATAAATGGTACCATCGCCAGACGAAAATATGAAATGAAGGGTGAAATATGTAAACCCTTCCAGGGTGAACCATATGCCACAAGTATTACTAGAGGATGTCTCGCAAGAACGGCGTCAGCTGTTACAACCCACTTCCACGACTAAAACGTTGTTCATTTTAATAAGTTTCAGATGTTGGAATCGTACGTCTTTCATAGCGTGTGCCTGTAAGATCAAGTCGCCCGAACATTCTATTCCCAAAGTAAGCGTTTCGCAAGAGTTACATATAATACTGACGGGTGTTATATTTAGAGTTTAATAAGTCTTCAGACGCTAAGAAACACGTGTGAAGACTCCATCGCTCAATATTCAGCTCCGTGGGTTCGAAAGTTATAACAATCATTCAGTAAACGAAATGCAGTCTTCTTTCCTTGTTTATACTTTATTCAATGCGATAAAAGTTGAAGTTCATTCAGCCTCCCGCTTACATCGCTTCAATTACACTAGATTTCCTCATCGTGTTTCGGTGCGCATCGGAAGAATGACAGCTTACGTATTATTCCTGTAA